TACAGTCATTCTGGTGATCTGGTCAGTATTTGTTTATCACTTACTACCAGAAACACAGCATTGCTCCTGCTGAGTAAGATGAGTAAGATTTGCATTGAGGGACTTGACAGTGGACACTCGGAGAATAGCCTGGACATGGCCATCAGACATTAGACAGCCTGGGTCTGTATTGTGATTTATTGAAGTTCATAGTGGGGGAAAAGTGTCTCACAAAGAAATGTGCTTCCAAAGAGACATTACCTGCTTGAACTATTTGGGCAACTCTAGTGAAGATGAGGGTAACTTGTGCAATCGTGAAATTGGGCAGTCATGTCTGGGTCTGTTTGCATCAGTTAAACTTTGCTTTGAGGTCTGTGCTGCACTGTAAGTCTGTGAAACGCACTATTATTGTTTATTAAAATTTCACAGTTTTATATTGAAAACCACAAATTTTAGCAGCACTCTGCATGTATTGTTTGCATAAAAAATACTTGCTAATAGACAAACCACGACATTTCCTTCCCAATCTGAAGTTCCAACATCATGCATTGAACTAAAAGTTAACTTACCTGGCATTTGCTATGAAGTAGTGGGTGGTGGCCATGAAGAAAATGCGACCACACCAGACTTAGTCCTCTTAAATGGCTGAAAAATCTCCAGAGTGCTGTAACTGTTTCCACCATCTTTTTACCTACATAAAACGAACCCACGCTGCTTCTTGCACCTGCACACGTGTGTCTGGGAATGGTTGAGCATAGAGATTTTTTTTTCTTCAAAGCACCAGTTTTAATAATAATAAAAATTTAAAACGATAATGCAAAGTGTCACGAAGTCTCGCTTTAGCCATCATTGGTCAGGAGTAGTGAGCCACAGTCACCCTGCAGTCGGGCATTCGCACAGCATAAAAACAATGGATTATGGTATGCAGATACTGAAAAGAACCGCTTCAGAAGAATTTTTTGTTCCTGTTTTTGGCATCAATATTGTTCACTTGTATAGCTGTTTTTGCGAACAAATAGTGTTTTTTGCTAAGACCATATCACGTTTTAGTTCACATTGTGCTTTTCTCTCCGACTGAAAATCACACAAATACGAATGCGATTCCGTAATGTATTAGACTTTGGTACCAATATATCAATTTTGTTAGAACAGACTCCCGGTGTGATATCACGCGTTGTAGCAGGACTAACTAGTAAACAACAGTTTTTGGTAACATTTTACTTGAAACTCTCATCTAAAATGCATTATAGATACCTTCAAAAAGCATCTTATAGCATCCATAATGCATTATAATGGTCAGTATAAGAATGAGGGATGCTTTGTAATGTATTATGAAGGTATCTGTAATACATTATAGATGAGAACTTTTTGGAGCTTATAAAGTATTATCAACACTGTAATGCCTTATGACCGTCAATAAAAAATTCTGTAATGTTTTATTCATTCTTATACTGACCATTATAATGCATTATGGAAGCCCTCATCTTTAATGCTTCGTAGTGCATTAAGAAACATCCTTATTTTTTTTTTTGCTATTTAAAGTTGAAACCCCTGAATTATACAAACCTTGTTATGCTACACACATTCAGATAGTCCTCCTTTCTTTTTAGACAGCCGTTACAAGTTGTTGCTGTTGGCAACAGTCATTTTTCTGTAGTTGTATTTGTAACCATTTTAGCCCTTATAGTGCAAAATTGCATTATGATTGACTCATGAATGCTGTTGTCTTTTTTTCCAATCTTTTTATACTATCAGTAGACTTTTGTGATTCTGCAAAAAAAAGTTATTGAACCAACAACATTGAGACATAAATTTTTATGTCATTCTAATCTACACTGTCATTCAGATTTCATCCAGCCAACTAATCAAAATAGGTTTATGTAGTCTGGCATTTTAAATAAGGCATGCTTCTGAATTGACAGATGCAGAATGTTTTTATGTCTAGTTTACGAAGTGCATTAACTTTTAATCTGAAAAACATTACAACTTGCCTATCCACTTACTGAAATGAATCTTCCCCAGTGAAAATACTACTTTCAGGAGTTTTAATAAAACAGGGCAATTAATTAAAATTGTCTGCATCTGTTGTAATAAGGCTGGACCAATGCCAGTTTTTGAATATTTTATTACAAGCTAATTACAAACTCAGTTGAAAGTAGCACGTACTCCGTTCTGCCAGGGCAGACGTTAAGGTATGCTAATATGGAAGTTCATGTGATATACTTCTGTTTGAATATTTGTTTTTCTCAATAGTCATAGCAACTTAATTTTACTATACAATGCTGAATATTATTTTTTAAAATATGAATTAATATATACTTTTTATTTAATGAAGTATGTATTTTAAATTGTATAAAGTGATTTATTTATGCCAAGAATTGTTAGTTGTGCTATGCACTTGCCAAATATGGCTTTTTCTTTGATCTCTGCAACTAGTCATGCTTGCTGCTTATCGTGGTTGCTGCTTTCTACTGCTAAGCCTGATATATGATGTGATCCAAAGGTTTTGTTTAAGGTCTTAGTGTACTACTTGGAATTTCAATGGTACCTCAGAACTCGATCTTAATCCGTTCAGAACTCGGGTTCGAATCCTAAAAAGTTCGAGTTTTGATCGAATTTTCCCCATAGTAAGTAATGGAAAACCAATTAATAGGGTTCCCGGCCCCAAAAAATTACACCTAAATATGTTTTTTTTTTTTTAGCATTTAAAGACAAAATGAACGGGATAAAACAAGAAGAGCATGTACTGTACTAAACACATCTAAGCACATTTATCAAAACATAATTTGTAAAGTAAGAAAATAAATGTATTCAAACAATGTGTAAAGTTAAAAAAACAAAAATAAAAACAATGTGTCCTGCCCCTATCAGCCGCTTCTTCCATGTGCCACGCCCCCTCGTTAACCCCGTGTGGAATCCCTGTGTGATCAGCCGTTTCTGGTTGTTGTCATTAGTCCTATGTATTTAGTCCGCGCTTCAGTTTGTTTCCCCAGTCTGGTCATTGTATTATCTGTCTGCGTTTTGCCTGCCTTACCTGTAATTAAACTCCGTATTCCCCGATACCCTGACGTCTTCACCTTTGTCTCCGTTCCATACCCGCTCCGCAGAACAATATTATAATAATTAAATGTATTAATGGTTTATTATTAATGATATTAAAATAATTAATAAGAAATCTATTTTTAAATATATTTTATTATTATATAATAATTACCGTTACTATCATTGTCTAAATTTTTTACTGACAATATATGTATTCTGCTAGTGTAAACATGCACGATGCTATCACAGCGAATGCGAGGCTAAGACTGAAGCGTTACCATTTGTTTCCAGTGAGAGACGTGCCGCGTGACTCATTTCCCCGTGCGTACAAGTTATCTTGGGTCGGCGTTCACGGTTTGACTTCTGAGATTCAGATTGAGTTCTAGGTAATTTTTTTTCGAACTGGTTGGTTCCACTTTTAAGAAATTCAATTTCTAATGAGTTCGAGAACTGAGGTACCACTGTATTTGTTTGTGAATTTCACCTAGGTTTTGCTTTGACTGATCCAATGAAGTAAAGTTTCCTTTTGTAATTAGTTCTGACTCTGAGTCACTCCTGTTAATAGTGGATTTAGAATCCAGCAGGTTACCTGAGGCTTGAAAAAAAATCAAACTTAAATAAAAAAAAAAACCCTCAGACTAATGTCTTGTCCTTTAATTCCTTCAGTGGCGGTGCACCATTGCATTAATGATACTGTTGCCACCAGAACAAAAAAATTAAAAGAAACTTTTTAATTTTGTCATGCAGGCAACCTTTGACGAGTGGTGAGAAGTGGGGAGGATTGATCACATGATCCAAAAATATGGAATAAATCGTGTCCCTTATTGGTTCAAAACAGGTCAAAGCATTTAATTTCACAATATAGAACAATCCTGTACAACACGAACTCTACTCTGAAGAGGTCTCAAAGTTCCAGCCTGTGAGACAGTTTTATATGGCTTGCAGCATGTTTAAAATTTGTTAAATCTACCCCACAGATCAATCTTTACTTTTCCACAGAATGAAAAAAAAATATTTATTCCACTAATCTGCACTGGCAAGTTTATTGGTATCGATGATATTAGACAAAAATATATTGGTTATCGGTATTGGTCAAAATTTCCGTATCGTTGCACCACTAATACTACCATTTATTTTGGTGCCACAAAGAAGGCCTCGTGCATTGCATTTCCTCACACATACTATCCATTGTGTCAATAGCCATACAGCAACCATGGAAACAGGAAAATAACCTGAAAGCCATTAGGGAAATAATGGATCTACATGATGATTGCTTCAGTAACGATCTCTTCCACCCTCTTCATATGGCGTGCACACACAGCAATGTAAAAGCTGTACTGTATATTGGGGGCATAGAAAAGTATTGATGCATCATGATGAACTGATTTTATTAAGGTGGTGATTCCACTGTATCAATCAATTTTTGCTGGCAAAATTTTTATTGCCAGCTGATATTTAAACTTTATCAGTATTCAAAGTTAGCAGCACCAGAGCCACAGACACTAAAATCTACTAAATTAATGGAGATTACTCTGTACCATCAGCCATGTAGTGGAAGATGAGAGATTTTGTCACCTCATTCACCACTCACAAGATGTATCTAAGTACCTGCAGCATGTTTATAATTCATTATTTAATCTGACCCACAAATCTTTGTTTTGCTTTCCACAGAATAAAAATCCACATAATCTGTGCCAGCAAAATCCCCCCCCTGTTTTCTTTAATGTGTTTGATTTTTTCTTCTTCTGTATAGTAGTTGGTTTTTTGACAATATCTTTGTATTCTATTAATAGTGTGTAATTAAATTCCTGAGGTAACATTTGTGATTTTTTTTTTCAGTGAGGTTAAAAAAGATATGAATTTAGGTTGTAAAATTAATCCAATAATTGATTAATCTGATTGTGATATGAATGAAAGATTTCCAATTAGGACTGGGCTGAAAAACATCATCTCGATATTTTAGGTTACTGTATCGATAATCAATTGATATTGATATTATTAAAAATTTTCAAAAGTTATTTTAAAATGTCAGGACTAAGTCATGAATTATGGTTTTATTCACATCCATGTTTCCCAACTGGAAAACATGAAAAGTGCATTTCTGCTGAACAATGCAATATCACATAAGATGTTAAAATATGAAAAAAATATGTAAACAAATATTTCAAGTATGTAACACATAGGTTCTTCAGGTAAATGCTTATATCCGAATAAGGTATTATATGACATTTTTTTCAGTACCGTTGTGTTCCTCTGCTGAACTGTTCCACATGAACCAAAGAAAAAGAAACAACAAAAAAAGAATAACAAATTAAGTAAATATGTACAGAGCCCTAGAAGGGACCCGGAGAGGGGAAAAACTGAAAATTTTAAAAGACAGTTTCATGTTTCAAATATTTAACAGCTAGGTTGTTCAGAAGTTTACTGTATGGAGTTAAATTGCAGCCACATAGTGCTGCAAACAAATGTGTGTACTGTAAACAAAAACACATATACTGCAGACAAAATCAATGTATTAAGATTTCTTTCTTTGCTGGTTTTTGAATATATATTTTACTGCATGTGCGCTGACCTTTGCAATATTTTTTTCCCTTTGTGCTACAGTTTTCTTTGCATTTCACTATTTTGCCACTTTTTGACAAGGTGTGGGTGGGCAGGGCTTTGTGGGGGGTTTCTGCCCCCTGATCAACAATCCATATCACCTGCCTGATTTGTACCTCACATGTATGCACATGCCTAGCATTTTTGAGCATGCGTATATCACGTTACTTTTTCTGGTACTGACTGATCTATTCATTTTGTCATTTTATGTCTACAATAAAATCAATATTGTATGTAAAAATGTATCGAGTATAATAGACAAATTTGATACCTCGCTCAACTATATTTCCAATGCAAAGAATTGCTTCAATAATCATAATTAGCCAACGATTTACATCCCTAGTGTATATCGGTTAATAGCATTGTAGCACAAGTCAAATTCATAGCTGATACAGCCCATTAATAACAGTTGTCTATTTTACAACTGCAAAGTAAATTAATGTTACCACATCAAATTTTTAATAGTTGTATTACATTTGACTAGTATGGTTTGAGATTTTTTTTCGAAGTATTTGAAGTATTTTAATAGACAATACACAATTTAAATGGATAAATTGTATATATTAATTTTACTACAGCTAGATGCTGAAATACATTAATTTCTTTTGACAGTAGCTTGTCCTCTGCATAACACAGTTGACCTAATGATTAAATGAAGTAGTAAATTTTTGTAGTAAATTAGCAACATTCTGAAACATATTACCAGTTTGGTTAATCATCTGGCAGTTCATGAACTCATCTGTTATTTAATAGGATGAGAAAGCCCTGGATATTTTCGTTTGAAAACAAAAGTGTTTTCAAGCAGGACACAGACTGTGCCGTTCACTACTGCCAAGTCCCTTTTTTTTTACCCATCCATTCCCATAATCATTAGCTAAGTCTGAGGAATTCCAAGGGAAACAATTGAAAGTAGTGGTCCAGTTGTTTAAAAAAAAAAAAAGTACGTCTGGAAATTACTGATGTCTTGAACATAGTGCAACACTATATAAATGAACCCCGATTTAAGCCTGTGTTTCTCTGTGCATATTGTGCAAGAGTATTGACGATAGTAATTACTGCAACAGATACCAGAATGCATCAAAACAGATTATTTTCGCATCATGATTTAAAGTATCATTATTAATCGTCTTGCTAACATATTTCATGCCTGAGCTTACCTGTGCTCCATTTTGTGTTTCGGGGGTAAAATGGCTGCCAGACAGAGCAAACCATGTGACTGCAGCTGTGCTTTGTGCTGGAGAAGCCGAATAACCTGTAATTGTGAAATGCCTTCATTAGTGCATGAATGTTTAAGTAATGGTTATGCAGACTGTTCGGGAATAAATGGCAAGGATTATAATAGTCTACAGAAGATGATTAAATGGTCAGGTCCTCTAAGATTGCCGGTCCAGGGGTATAAAAGGAAAATGGGCTTGAATCATTTGAATTGATGGCTCTTCTGTTATCATTGCAGTGGGTGCGAGAATGTTGGCCTTGATCAAGTGGTCTTCAGGTTAGACATCATGGTTGCTGTGTTTTTTTTTACCTCTATTTCTGCTCCTGGATTGTACCCGTTTCTCATCAACTGCCGTCTACTAGGGCGGTTTTTACTATTGTGTGCATTTCTGTGTGTGGGTGGAAATGAGAGTATCACATCTTTTGTGCAAAGGAACCCCAGTGCTTTAATACTCCTTCCTGACATAGCCTTATATAGAGTAAGCTAAAGCCTTTATGCGCTTTAACATATGGAACATTTTCAAAAATTAAAAGACATCAACCAGAAAATGAAGATTCCTTTAACTCTTGGGTGAATAACAAATAAGGCTTTCACCAACTGAAAAATGTTAGGTGGTGCAACCAAAAATGTATATTTTACAATTATTTTATTCCAAATGAAAACCTTCATAAATTAACCATTTAAGTTTCTGTAATGCATCGTACATTGTTAATTGCTATTTGTTTTTTGAATTTATGATTAGTAATAATATTAATTGTGGTTGTACCATCTGCATTTTAAGTCATTTCAAATTAAACAAACATATCTTTGAACACCTGCACAAACGTTTGTTCTTGATATCTAATGTATATGTACAACTTTAAAAACCGATAGTTGTATCATATTACAGTATTTTAATGTTTTTTTTCATGGGTTGTACCATCTGACATAAACCGTGCAAGAATAACAGTTGAAAATTGACTTTTTTGTCAATATTTGATTTATATCTTTCGCTGTTCACAGGCTATTTGCATAACCAATTGACAAAGAAAGCGTTTCAAGTCACACCCCAAAGTACCTAAGTACCAAAGAAGTATCCCAGTTGATTTGGCGCTTTTGGTACAGGAACTTTTAGTACTGGTACTCAACTGGAAGTCAATGGAAAAGGGGAATGTGCAAAAAGTATGGTACTTGGTGTTGTGGAAAAGCACCCTTTGAGAGTGAAGGAAACTAATTAAGGAATTAATTCAGTTTTAAGTATTAACTGTAATTCATGTCTTTGTACGTCACACCCATTTTGAAATATCGCTTAGAAGCTTTTTAAAACAAAAGAAATATGAATTGTGCGGTTAAAAAAAAAAAAAAAAGCAAAGGATGGTTTGGGAGTCGCTAACTTGGACTGTTTTGCGAACTCGCTGCAGCTTGGGATACAAGAGGGGCGCCATCGCAACAGTGTAACTGAGCTGACACCAATGGGAGAAGAATTGTGTTAAAATTTTAAGCATTTGACACTTGTATATACTTGTTTTGAATATATTCATATTTAACTGCAAATGCCTCAAAAACACTTAAAACAAAACGTACAAATGAGGTGGAACAGTACGTTATGTATGTTTGTAGTAGCCTAATTAAATATTTTTTGTCATACATTTTTTCCGTCTATTTACTAGCTTAAAAAAATTAATATATAAAATATAACAAAGTAAAAAGAGCTCTTGTATCGGAATCCGTATTGGTATCAGCAGTTGTGTATCGGAATCAGATCAGAACTGAAAAAATGTGGATCGGCCCATCCCTAATCAAAATACAGCATTGAACAGTCAAGGTCATTGATGGGCAAAGTATGTGAACTTCTAGGATAATGATCTCTTCAAAAAGTAATTGGAGCCCAGTGTTCCAGTGAGTTGAGATATGGTTTCAGCCTGCCCTGCTGCGCAACCACCTGAATTTGGTTACTTGCTCTTCACAACAGACTTGTGTTCAAGTATGATATGGGCCAATCCCAAGAAATCCCAGCGGTACTGCAGAAGAGAAGCTGTTGAAGCTCATGAAACTAGAAAAGTTTTCAAAATTGCTTGCATCATGCTATATAAGATATAGTTCCAGCTGAAAAACTGAATATCGAATATGAGGTGCAAGCTGTGTATATGAAGCAATGTGATTGGTCTGCGTCATCTCATAATTATGTCTTAGTATCTCGGCTTTTCATATGTAGTGAAAACAGGCATGCAAGCAACACATCCCAAAAAATAATGTATCAGCTGAATCTATTTAATACAGAGGAATTGGCTGAAATATGGAACTGCCATCCGAGTGCCGTGTATTGCCAGTGTGTATTAATTAGTTAATATAAGGGTTCACATACAATATTTGTTCTATAAAGATATGGTAACGAAATGTGTGTGTTTTAATGTCTTTGTTGTAATGGCTTCGACTGGAAGAAAATTGGATCACGTTAATGGAGCCATTCATGCAGAAACCCCGATAATATCAACAAACTTTTTCTCACAACTGTATCAATCTAAACTGCACTGGTTATATATAGCTGATGTATTATGGCCCTGGGCAAACATCTGACATAATTAAAGGGCTGACAAAAATATGGATTATTTCCTTTGTTTACTTGCTGGTCAGGTCAGTGCCCTAGAAGGATGGGATGTACAGTTAAGGAAACTGTCCTTGATTAATTTTGGAATAATTAAATATGTCTGTTCACCCACTGTGTCTCACTCCCCACCCGCCCAGTTTTTTGTGCATTTGATCTGATAACAGTGGGCAAAGCATCCACAGAAAACAAGCAAATTAATAAGCAAGACAAAAACTGGCAGGAAAGTAGAGGTTTTACAACATGGGATACAGCAGAGCTAATTCACTTCTAGAATCTTATGCAGCAGAACAGTTATTCTGTTCAACCCCTTGATGCAACAAATGAATAAATAATAAGCGCAGCATAACCACCAGTGTTTGATTGTGGATTGAGTTGTTTGTTATGCAGCCCATATAATGGCAGCCAGTTCTTCAGCATGGCCTAGCTAAGCGGTCTGACAAGCTGCCATTTTCTGTAACGAATTGGATGAGCATACACTTGCCTTCTGCTTGTAAAAACCAAATTAGCTCATATAAAATGAATAAGATTGAGATGGTGTTTTGCCTTTACCCTAGCATTAACCGAGTGGGGAGTTATCTCTGGAGCACAGTTAAGATCTGGACTGCTCTGTTTCTGACGGAAGAGTAAATAAGGTTCGTCTGACATGGGAAGGGTTGATGGTAAATCTGCAGGGAGTTTGCTGTCTTCTTTGTCAAGTCTATCAGGCAAATTAGACCTTTTTCTTTCTGCAGGTGTTAGAGGTGTATAATACTCATACAAGAAGTATATCCTCTAACATGGAACCAGCTTGTAGTAAGATAAGAGGTCAGAGTAGGCAGGGATGTGGATCAGTGGAGGAGCTGCCTTCTGGCCACCCAGGCTCGGTACATTTGAATGACAAAAAACCCTTGAAGTCGCATCTTTATCGATAAATGTGACCGTGAGTGAAAACCTAGAGAGGTTACTTGTTTTGTTTTTGAGATGATCCTTTTGTGCTCTGTTGCTGATGCCCAAGCATATACTTGAGTATCATGCAAACTAATTTCCATGCTTCTTCCATTTTCAGGGAACGTCTTCTCCAGTAATTTGAGTGATTCATGCAGTTTCACTGTTGACATACAGTTGGCATGAATTGTGAAGACGAGGTTACAGAGAAGGCAGTGCATTCCTGGTCCAGGTTCACCTCGGCTGGAAAGACTGCACTTTTGGAAGCCTTGAGGGTTTTTAGTCCCATGTCCAAGGATCTTCTGGACACTGAGATACAGCTGGTATCCTTTCTTCAGGGCCTCAAAGAAGAAGGTCATAAGCCCACTGTGCTGAAGAGCAAGGATGTCTATGGCTACAATTCCTGCACAGCAGAACCAATTCCGGAAGCAAAGTTATCAAAAATACAGGAACCTTTTAACAAGGTTCCAAAGTTACAAAAATCTGGTAAGCGACGCAGAAGGAAACCTGGTACCAAGAAGAAAGAAATTAATTATACACTCTTGAGTGCAGCGGCTAAACTCATTTTGAAGAATCAACCTAAAATTCTATTGACAAACCTCTCAAGAGAGACTTTAAAACGGACAGTCCATTCCAAGCGACCGGTTTTAAACATCAGGCCTGTCCAGATGCCATGTCTTAAACTGACTAATATCAAAGGGCCCTCTAGGGGCCATACAGCAAAGTTGCAGATTCATACAGGATTAGGGTCTCGATCAGTTGCTTTGCCCAACTCCCACAGGTTACCTGGACTGTCAGAGATACCTGTGCAACCACTGGAACATTCAGCAAAAACTGCTAAAGTGGTAGCTTTGGAGAAAAGAATGGTTTCCTGCCCAATAAAGTTGGGAGTGATGCTGAAACGAGAGACTGTTCCAGCAGTACATGAGAATGGTAGGGTCTTGAAGGAAAGCAACAACTACAAACCAGTGCCCATAAAACGTCGCAGATCCACTGTGGCTAACAAAAAGCTGGGCTTGAGGGATAAGGGTGCAGCTCGGGTGCGGAAGAGAAAACGGCATGAGGAAGCCGAGGACAAGATGCTGAGGAAGACGGCTAAAAACGGAGTCTGGGTTGTGAAAGGTCAAGAGGATTCCAGGCTAAACGAGAACAATCTTAGGTTCAAGGTGATCAAGGTGGATGATTCCATCACAGATGAAGAGGTACGAAGAAAAGCCCAGAAGATTTTGCAAGTTAATTTGTCGCCCGTTATTGAAATTCAACCACTCATCACTTACCCCGTGTAAATCATACTCATGCTACAAAAGCTCTGCATGATCCCTGCAACTAGCTTTTATTTTTACTTTTCTACCAATGCCTTGTTGAGCCTGAACTCAACGTCGAAGCATTTTTATAATGGGAAAAAGACATTTAGGGTCGAATTTACCCTTTCATCCAGCAAAGACAACGTATGTAATGTCTGTGTTTCGCCTTTCCTGCATTAAAGGGACAGTGCACAGTGTAGGAGCGCAGTTGCTAGATAGTGGAACAATTATCACCTTTCATGTGTCTTTTTTTTTTTTCTTTCGAAAAGGGTGCAGGTTTAAATTTTGACAGTTTTATATGGTGCACTGTGAAATGACATTTCATCCGTTTTGTTAAGATAAAGGAAGCCATGGTGTCATATTACTATGCAGTATCTATAAAGCTGTTTCTTTAAAATGGCGACACAGATTAGTGTGCTGTATTGTAGGTTTTTATTTTAGTATTTGGCCATACCCTAGAATTCCATTTTTGGGAAGATTCCTTTGTTCACCTGAACATATTTTTATTTTCATTTAAAATCATTCACTTTAAGGGCACCTAGTGGCTTTTTCCAAAGCCTCTGGGGAAGATTCTGTTGGGTTTTGGTTGAGATTTAAATAATGCATCAGAATGCGCTCTTCAGACTGTTCAGAAATGTGTGTGCTGAATTTCATCACTTTGTATTGCAAGCATTTTAATTCAGGGCATGATTAAATGGCCGTGTTTTGTATAAAACATCGCATCCATGAGTAGATACTTATATTGTGGCCCAGTTAGAGAGAGCACATTTCATTTCCACTTTCCTCATGCAAGGTAAAACAGATTTCCCTTTGGAGAATCCAGACATGGTAACTGATCAGTGGGCTGCTCCTGGACTGAATATTTTCTCACCTTACAAAATACACTAGCTTCAGTAATAGCTCCATTTTATTTAAAAAAACATTCAGTCTAATTATTTACAAATGTATTTCATACTTGGTATTACTTTTACATCTCTAGAGTACAACTATTTAAACAAATGTTGGGTTTTCATACTTACCATTGACCGTTAGTATGTGCTGCTTTGCCTTTAATGTAACTTGGGTTTGAAAATAAAGGTCTCGACCCTGTACTGGGTATGCATCCGGAAGATGGATGGATGTGTGAAATAAAAGCAAAACAAACCCTTCTGATGAACAGTTGGCATTGACAGTTGTTCTTGTGCCAAACAGGTCCATTTGGTGCCTTTATGTTGCTTACATTTTCTCCAATATTTCAAAATGATCTGTAGAATAACTTGGATTGAGTTCTACTTTAAATTGCTTCCAGTGTTTTTAGATATTTTTTTTTTATCTAGTTCCTGAAATGCTTCTTTGCATATTGACTTAGCTTTTTGGTTCCTGAAATACTTCCTTCTTATACAGAGTATGGTATTTTCCCATGCTTGCTTCAGGGTTTTGACTTGACACTGGACAAAGGCAACAATACCAAAACAAATGATGTGGATTTGAGGTTGTGTTCTGGAGAACCGGAAGATGCACTTTCTATAAAGACACGGTAACTTCCCCCTGTGACATTTTCCAATTTCTGTATGTGTAACTTGAATTTAAATGTTTGAGACTGGCAATTTTCATACATAATTGTTTTTTGTAAAAATGACATCATTTTCCCCCGCCAGAGTGGTCTTGTGAACAATGCTGATTAAACATTTGAAATCTGTACAGTCAACATTGTATATTTGGTATAACTGTTCAGAAATTGTGAAATAAAAATTGCTTTAAAAAAAAAAAAAAACCAGCTCATTCTCATGCCCTAATGCAAAGACCATGATACTGATTTTGGAAGCTCCTGAGCTTGTTACCCGAATCCCACACCACTTAAAACTTGGATATTGTTTTAATTAAACATATATATACAATTAGCATGCTCTGGACTTCAGTCTAGGTCAGGCTGTGCATTAATGCGCCCTTCAGTCATAGAACATGCAGTGCATGTTTGCTATTAAATCCCTTTTAAATGCTATTTCTTCCATAAAGCAAACTGAAAGCTAGGAATACCATTACCATCAGGTGAGCAGACTGGTAAAATGCAATCATGTCTAAAGAAACTGTCATCAACTATTGTAAGCCAGTCAGGGCTTTCTTGTGAAATAATATTTTAAAAATGTGCTGACAGAATATGAGAACTTCTCGTATGTCAGCATTTCCCAAACCTAGACAGGTCGTAGATGTCTGCCATCAGTGCTGAGTTTTGATTTAGTTGAAGTAGCTAATTAATTTTAGTTTGATTCATTTAATGAACCTTTTAAATCTGAAATATGTTGGATCCAAATTAAAATTACGTTAAGCTATATTAGCTAAAATGAAGTATTCAAATACTGCTGTTAAAATGCTGGTACCCTACCTTGGGTAACTGCTCCCTTCAACAGACTGGCATCATGTCCAGGGTGTACTCCGGCCTTGTGCCCTATACTTCCTGGGATAGGTTCCAGGTCTCTCGTGACCTTGATAAGGATAAGCGGTTGGAAGATGGATGGAAGACTTGGTTGTGCTACACCAACCTGATGTTCACAGTAAGGGCAAAAATTTGCTATATCATATACAGTGTAATAAATTATGTATTAGCATTTTAAAAAAAGTGATTAATCAATTTTTTTGTTTACGTTAACATTTCAAAACAAGCCCAGCTAATTTGAAGTAGATCTGGACTGTAACACAATGATCACATTTAGTAAATATTGTCCATTTTGTTTTAGGTAGAGAAGAAAATCTTGATTCTGTCAGGTCATCACCAGACCTAATCAAATTATATGTAATTGGGTTGCTGGTAAGTGTCATTTCTACCTCGATGACACATATTTAAACATTAGGAACGAAACGAGACAGAATTTCCCCCACAGAACTGTGACGAGATGCTCTTTTTTTACCCCAGCCCTAGTTGGCTAACTCAAGGTGACACCACAGGCTGTTGGAAAGTATGAAATGTGCTATTAAATTGAGTTAATGCCGTTATACGGGAGCCCTGAAGTATCATAAAAACACCTTATGATGCCTGAAAAAGTCATACATTTTTTAACCGTAACCATAGCGTCAGTTGGCTCTCCTAATTTGGGGAAATAGGGTTACATGACAGGCCATTGCAAAATATGGAACAATTACATTTATGGCATTTGGCAGACTCCCTTAGCCAGAGCAACTCACAGAAGTGCTTAGAAGTCTCATCAGGTAATACATTCTGATACTTGTTCAATAATACCCGGCTAAGAATACTATCACTCTAAGAAACTCTGTTAACAAGTAACTCTGTTAACAAGTTTTTTTTTTTTCCAAATAAGAGTATAATTCTGGAAGTGCTTGCTAAATTCAAGTACTTCTGAAAGAAGTAGGATTTTAGTCATCGTTTGAAGACACCCAGTGACTCAGCTATTCGGAAATCTAGAGCAGTGAAGAAGGATCAGAGAGAAGGAGGTACAGTGCAGGGTGAGAAGTTCTTTTAGGTAGGAGGGTGTTGGTCCATTTTTGGCTTTGTAGGCAGGCATCAGTGTCTTGAATCTGATGCAGGCAGCTACAGGAAGCCAGAGGAGGGAACGTAGCAATGGTGTGGTGTGGGAGAACTTGCGAAGGTGGAAAATGAGTCAGGCAGCTGCATTCTGGATCAGTTGCAGAGGACGCAAGGTGCTCAGAGGCAGACCTACTAGGATTGACTTACAGTAGTCTAGTCTCGAGATGACGAGGGATTGAACACCTGTGTGGCCTGTGTGGAATGAAATGAACGAACACTTCTGATGTTGAAGAGGAGGAATCGACATGAGTGGGAAAGATTAGCAATGTGAGAGGATAAGGACAGGTGATTGTCCATGATTACCCCGAGGCTGCAAAGTTGAGTGCCATCTGCATACCAGTGATATGAGAACCCATGTGAGGGTATGACTTCACCAAGAGATCGAGTAAAGAGGGAGAACAGAAGAGGACCAAGAATTGAGCCCTGAGAGACGACAGTAGAGACTCTGCGCGGAGTAGATGTGGATCTCTTCCGTGTCACTTTATATGACCAACCTTCTAGGTAGGAAGCAAACCATTGGTATGCTGAGCTTCAAATTCCAAGACTCATAAGGATGGACAAGAAAGTCTTGTGGTTGACTGTGTCAATTGCTGCTGAAAGGTCAAGAAGGATGGAAGCAAATGACAGTTTGGCCGCTCTGACAGCATGCAGCTTCTCAGTGATAGCAAAACGGGTAGCCTCTGTTGAATGTGCTGCTTTGAAGCCTGATTGGTTAGACTCTTGGAGGTAGACATTAGTTGATTGTAAACTGTATTCAAGGATTTTTGAAAGAAAAGAGAGAAGTGGTACCAGTTGGTAATCATGTCAAGTCAAGTAGGTTCAATTGTCATTTCAGCCATCTATACAGTATACAGTGAAACAAAACATTGTTTCTCCAGGACCAAGGTGCACAAAAAATCAAAAAGACAGAAATAACACAGGACTACACAGTGCAATTTACGGGATGCGACAACACACAGTGCAGTCGACAGTAGCAACAGTAGTTACCGTGCTGGTTTGAGTGGATATTGAATAAGTAGTATAACCTATACTGTATTTTAGCAGCAAGACAGCAATAAATAGTAATAAAAGTGCGGAAGGGCAACCAGTATTAGCAGTACATGAGTGTGCAGTATATAATAAATGGCATATGAAATAGAGTTTGTTATTTATTTCTGGTTCAGAAGTCTGATAGCCTGAGGGAGAAAACTGTTTCCCATCCTGGCAGTGAAGGCCTGTATGCTATGGAACCCTTTGCCAGACGGAAGGAGGGAGAAGAGGATGTGGGAGGAGTGCGATGGATCATCCACAATGCTGGTGGCTTTGCGGACGTGTAAATGTCTGCGACAGAAGGGAGGGAGACCCCGATGATCTTCTCCGCTGTCCTACCTATCTCCTGTAGAGTCTTGCAGCCCGAAGTGGTGTAATTCCCATACCAAGCTGTGATGCAGCTACATAGGGTCTTACTGGACAGAGCTTCAATTCTATCCAAACGAAACTCTAGCAAGCTGGATAGCTGTATTCCATTATCCGGGACACATTCGCTGAGCCATGTTTTCATAAAAAAAAACACTGCAGACTCTCAACTCATGCTGGGTAGACCACTGGAGTCGGATATAGTCCAGTTTATTATCCAGCGAGCTAACATTGGTGCATAGGATGGATAGGATAGCTGGCCGGGTAGCGTTAGCTTTTAGCTTAGCATGGACCCCTGCCCACTTCCTTGCGCACCGCTTGCGATGTCTCCTCCTCCAGCCAATGCCATCAGGAGATGCTGCTGTCTGAGGGCCTGGTCCCTGTAGCAAGTCGAGGCTGCGTAGCTTATCCAACAGTCCATCCTCAGGGTTATTATCTTGTCCCTGTTTTAGTTTCAGCAGGGACTGGCGGTGATAGACATCTGCACCTGTAGTGTAATCGTTTGGGTGGGAGACAATGTCTGACAGATTTGAGCAATCTTCTTATCAAAGATGGCAAAGTCTTCGTCAGTGTCCTACTCAATATCCTACTCAATTGAACTTAACTGTGGTGTCCCGTTATGTGAGGGCCTAGAACTATCTTGAAAATTTCAGAAAAAGCCATATATTTTCTAACCATAACCCTAGCTTCAGTTGGCTAACCCTAATTTAGGGACTTAGGATGACACAGCAGGCTCTTGAAAAACATGATGTATCCTACCAAATTTAACTAAACTGTACTTTCCCATTATACGGGGGCCCAGAACTATCATAAAAATACCTTTTGATTTATGTAAATGCCAAAACCTTTATCTAAAATATAAAATACCTTTTTTTTACCATTCAAATATAAAGTCTATTTCCACATTTCCTTCACAGAATAAAGCCAAGGTCAAAAAATGCTGTCTATGAATAAAGCACAAAAAACTGGTTCACTTTTAATACCTTCAGACTAGATTGCTGTAATACTGTAGCATCTGGCTGCATCCAAAAAGTGTCTTCAGCCAATTTAGAATGAACCTTCAAGAATTTAGTGATCAGTGTCAACACACCACAATGTGTCCTCTGCATTTAACCCATATGTGACTTTTGTGACATAGCATGGGGCAGCTAATTCAGCACCCGGGGAGCAGTGCTTGGGGGTGGCACCTTGCTGGTTGGGGATTTGAACCTACAATCTTTCAATTACAAGTGTGCTTCCTTAACCATCAAGCCTCCACTGCCCAAGTTACTGGGACTAACACATGTTAACATCAAACCTCTGTACAAACCACTAATACCTCTATTTTACAGTAGACTAACAGTACTTCTCACTTTTATAAACCTTCAATCTATGGGTTTGCTTCTTCCATGTAATCCAGTGTATTCTTTCTCATACAGAGCCTGTTTGTGATTTAAGCACACTCTACTGTTAGGTCTACCCTGCTTTTTGAATCCTTCCTTTAGTTCAATCCCCTGAATACCAGGAGTGATCCTACCTTGTTGGGTCCTTGAGCAAGGCTCTTAACCTGCAACTGCTTCGCCCTGGGTATGACGTTAATCTACATCCAGCTCTGTAAGGAGGTCCTCCAGCTTACAGGAAAATTTGAGGGTTGGTGGCAGGATTGGCACTTCAGACACTGGAAAAAACTTATACTGGTCCATTTGGACTGGAGTGGTGCTGAGGTGTCACCCACTGTACAGATGCACTCAGTTCTCATCCATGAGGTGGTTTGTTGTGTGTTGGGTACAGTA